CACTACCGGACTAACTCGCTTCGCTTCTTTTTTACCCTTGAAGAAGGCAGAACATTTATTTGTTGACGAGCGTTCTTCGATTCACAGGGGCACGAGCGTATCTTTGCTGTAACAAGATAGTGATCCGATTCGATGTTAGAACCTTAGGACGTACGCACGTCAAGAACACTGGAGACATGTCTTCCATCTATCACAACATGATCGATTTGGTTGAGAATTTTTCGATCTGGAGACAGCCAAGTAGCTTGATGTATTTTTTTGTGCTGGAATCTAGTACTACAGACAAATCACTTCGGGCCCCGGCGAAGTCGATCAATCTCAACCCATGTAGAGATGTTTCGTTGTGAAAAGAAAATTTTCGAAAATGGTCCCAAAAAGACCTTCTTTGCCCAACTTTGGCGTTGAAGTCGCCATGCATCATATGTGTGCTCGAGACGCTTGCAAAACGCATCTTAACCAAGTCATCCTTCTCTTCCGCCGGGGGGTAGGCGCGAATAAACGTGGTGTTAAAAAATTTATTTTTGATGCTGATTGTGACGGGACGTTGAGCCACTGGAGTGTATGTCAGTACCCGTCGATAGAGTCTCTCTCTCACCACGAATCCGGCAAAAAATTTACGCTCCTTATTGTGGTTGTCGTAGTGAATATCACAAGGATCCAGCTTCTTCCATTTTTGTCCCGTTAATCGCACATCTCAGATGGCAGTGATGTGAGCAGCATCTTTGCAATTAAGGAACGGGACATTTCAGGTGCATGCCCAAAAATCGTAAACCTTAAAATATTTGCGGGGGTTGTCATCTATAGAGTGTTTTCTCATCCGAGTCTTAATTTGGTTTCAATTTTATTCGTTTTTATTTTTCATATGGGTCCCAAACCCTACGAACAACTGCACGGCATTCGCCTACTCACTTTGGCTCTCATCTATGATAGAAAGTCATGAGCTGCTCAACCATAGGAGTATGCATTACATATTTTTTTTGATGGTGTTAGAATCATCCGAGATTGCAAGTGCTGTAACAACTTTGAGAGTGTTGGAAAAAAGGTAATTTCGAAAAAAATTTAAATCATCTAACAACTGTAAATGTGCTTTAAGAGTGTTTATATTTGAGGATTTTTACATTTTGTTTTCTCTTTTTTTCATTATTTTTCATACATTTTTTATTTTTTTCCCATTTTCTACTTCCTTGCTTATTTTGTGGTTTTATTTGTAGTTTCCCTATGCACTATCTTTCTACGTATTTACACGGCTATTCACATGACCAACAACAATGGTCCCTCGTATTCATTTATTTGCTATGATTACAACTACAGCTCGTCTATACTAACCGTGTATTTGCTGACCGTTGTGTTGATGGTTGAGCAACATTTAATGTTGTTGTTAAGTGTAAATATAGAGGATTGTGACATTTGATGAGTGCTTGTTGACTCCAAACATATCCAATCACTCACTTATGGTTTGCCTCTTGCTCTCTCTCCCGCTCTCTATCTCCCTGTTCCTCTCTCTGAAGCACTGGTTTTGAAAAGTTTGCATTGAAGTGAACTAACGGTATTGCATTAGATTCAGTGTACACTTGGTAGAGCATGTGAGTTTGTATTGTTTTTGTAAATGTGTTTAGTTAACAAGTTGTTTGCGTTGTCCTTGCTAAAAGCTGTGAGAGAGATGGATAAAGCAACTACCTTTCAGTGCACACTTAAAGCGGTAGAATGAGGGAAAATTTTAGTTAGAGAATGTGAGGATTTGATATAGCTCTTCTGGATACTTTTTTTTCTATTGTTTCTTCCAAAGTTCTCCAAATAGCTTTGCAACGATTTCAAATTTTTATCCTGTAGCTGCTGATCTTGTGACTTGCGCTGACATATATATTTATTTCAAATCAGTTTTGTAAATTTCGGTTAGAGCTGAGTTTGCCCTGTTAGTCTTCAGCGAGGGGCTCTGTTTCACTGTCGTCTTGCTGAAGATACGGTTTTAATGTCGTCTGTGCTTAACATGACTTATTTTTGGGCTTGATTTAGAGTAAAACTTTGTGACGCCTAATAACCAATAAGTAATTATGAACTATTATATTAATTTGCTGTTATGTAATTATCTCAGAATTCCCTTTAAATTAAATTTCATATCACTCGTACAGCACACACATATATAGATGATACCGTCTAAACAACCTCTTAGTCTTGCATCAAATTAAACACCGTAAAGTGTGCTTTACATCATTTTAGCTTGCTCTAAACATTAACTTTTTTTATAATATCAGGCAGCAACGAAAACAACCATTTGTAATGCATACTAACCTAATTTTGTAGCAAATTACCTTGGTATATAATTCGTATCTTATATATAGCATAATATATATATTTGTGTGCGCCTAATTATATGCCATCTGCCTATATTACTTACCCACTTACACACACACATACAGCGAACACGGCGAACAATCTTGGCGCTCACAATTCAATTAAAAATTTACATTTTAATTACAAAAGTGACGTAAAACTACAATTGGAGCCCAGAAGGTAATGAAAGAAGTTTTACTTTCAACGCCTAAAGATAGACCGACGTCCATTTTGCTTTATTGCGCTACTCCTCCGTCGTCGCTTATTACCGTGCAAATGCTTTTTCTGCGCATTTTGGCTTTCAACTCATTTCAACTCATTTCATTGCCATTTAAATTCATCATGCGCCAACAATTATGCAACTTGTTGGAGTTTATTAGCGCATAAAAAAGTTAAAAAAGGCGAATGAAAGAAATGAAATCAATTTGTTCGCTTGTCTTCGCAATATAAGTTTCTTCTTCGCTGGTTGCGGTTTTCTTCGCTATGTGGTTGATGACGAATAGCACAAAAACTTTAAATTTACAACTCATTTCCATGCAGTTGGAGGAAGCATGCCTTTAGTAGGTCCACTCTTTATATATGTATATGCTATTTAAAAGTGTGTGATTGTTAGGTCAGCAAGGTAGTTGGCCACAATCGGCAGCTAGTTGTTGCTTTCTACAACATCTGTTGAAAGAATGCTATTTCGTTGTACTAATTAGCCAATTAAAGACATCATCACTGTTGAGTTAGTAGCGCATTAAAGTGAGATGTAGAGTTGTGTTGAGTTTAGAATTCTAGATGTGGTTAGTTATGCAGTAAATTTTGTTGTAATGACGTAAAAGAAACTTTTACGTTTTTAAGCAATCGTATATTTCGTATGCTGTGATGAGATTATGGGTTTTAAGTTATAATATTATATATTAAATTATTTATTATTTTGCATTTCATTTTATATGTTTCATTTTTTATCTTCAGAAATATTTTAATTCTAGATTATTTCACTTAAATTGAGATATACAATATTTATTTAAATTTATATTATATTATTTCCTTTTATATTTATTAAACTCTTTTAACTTATTTTTCATTGTATTTCACTTTATTTAATGATTAATTATTATGACTTGCTTAATTATTTTATTTTGATAATAATTAATTTTTTTACATTCTTTTATTTAAATTTATTTTATTTTGTTATATTTTTTCCATTTTGCTTTGTTGTGTTGTATTTTAGTTCAGTTATTATATTGCTTAATTTCAATTATTTTATTTTGATTCTACACTTTATTGAATTTCATCTACTTTATTTTATTTTATTCACATTATTTTGTTTGATTTCATTGTATTTTATTTATAAATTACTTTATTTTATTTTGTTTTATTTAATTCAATTTATTTTTAAATATAAATATATTATTATATTTTAATATTTTTAATTTAATTTAACTTTCTTTCACTATATTTACTTCTTTTAACTTACTTTTTTATTTTATTTTAATTTGATTTATTGTATTTTATTTTATTTTTTTCTACCTTAGGTAATTCAATTAAATTAATCTAATATATTTTTTTCTGATTTTACTTTATATTATTTTATTTTATTTTATTTTATTTTTTTATTTTATTTTATTGTATTTTATTTTATTTTATTTTATTTTATTTTATTTTATTTTATATNAATTTATTTTATTTTATTTCACCTTATTTAATTATAGTTAATTTTATTTTATTTCATTTTATTTGATAGTAATTTGCTTTAAATTATTTTAGTTTGCTTAATTTTATCTTTTCTATTTTTGTGGGTTTAAAATAAAAACTTGCTAATGTTTCGGTAAGTTCTTATGTTTATGCTTTTTGATTGCTTTAAAACTTGTGAGAAACTTAAAGCCTTACGTCTTGTCCCTGTTTTGCAGCTTATGAAACCTTTTGTTTATTACGTTTCTGTTATGAAAATGAAAATACAATAAAAATCCATTAACTCTTGCGCTTTCTGTATCCGTTTTGAGGGTGGGGATAAAAAGTATGGTATTTGGCGCCCGATTCCGGGGCTGAAGGGCACATAAAGATGAAGATTTATGAAGCCATTAATTTCGTTTTACTTTAACGACATTCTTAGGCCAACACAAAAAAATTAGAAATTAAAAAACTGTAAAACATACCAAAAAGTTAAAGGATAACTTCATGAGAGAGGTCACAAAAGAAACTCTTTTGTCATAGGCAGTGTTTGGTTGCTTGCTTAGTTGAGCATGAAGAAGTGAAAAATTTACATTGGTCAAAAAGATCTGGCCAGCTGAGTGAAAAAATATTTATTGCGAGTGTATGGTACATAAAAAAAAATTGAAGTAATGCAATGAAATTAAAATCGCTGAAGTGCAAAATTTTCGGACAAAAATAATAACAGGGATGGTAGCAGAAAATCAGTTATAAAGCAACCGAAATAAAGTGAACAGGCCTCACAAGGGCAAGTCAAAAATTGCAATTAGCAACGTTAACCCCAAAAACAGCAGAATGTTACGTATAAAAATGCAACTACGCACACTTTCTCCCAAAGACCGCACCCTCACCCTATACTTCGCACCCCAAGCTACGAAACTATTGAAAAACTCTATGAATACTTACTACACATTAAGAGTGAGAACCAACGAGCTGCCACTAACACAATCACCTAGGAATTGCTGGTTACGAAAATGTCTAGCCAACACTGTCGACCTCCAACAGCAACTTCGGCACATGTAAGTGATACCCAAAATAATGTTACGGTGACTGAGACGGAAGCAAGGAATTTTGTTGACGTTGATGAAATTGCTTTAGTTAAAACACCAGCACCAGAAATCAAGCAGGGTAAACAGAAAACCGCAGAAGCTGACACAACACAAAGTGTAACACGGAGAGGTAGAGTAGAAATTTGCGACCAACCACAGGCTAGTGACCAACACAAAGTGAAGGATAACAATAACAGTCATCGAAAGGAGCAAGTATCCGAGCTGACGAACGCTATTGCGGCCACCGAAAATGTCAGTTCACTTGGCGTAAAATTAAAAACATCAATTTATGACTGGGACTCACCCAGCTCATTCACTGGCACAGTGAAGAGGCGGAACAGGCGACCACATACAGTGGCAGGCGCCTCCTTAAATGTTCCTCGAGGAGTGGGATATGTAAAGGTACAACAGAATGCAGCTTCGGAAAACTCATCACTCTCAGTAAAAGCTTTAGCTAGCCAACCGACTGCTGTGGACACCACCGACCGACGGAAAACCACCGAAACCAATCAAATAAATATTTGTGATAATAAACGAAACAATAATGCAATTAGTGCAAGCCAAGCGAACGAAACCAGTAGTAAATTGAAGCGTCACACAGTACGCAACGAAGAATCAGCCTCTTACAAGAAAAAAACTGCGAACCTCCTTCGCACCATGCCAAAGTCACAACGCCAGAGTAAAGAGAAATCGAAATTGCGTCACAGCAAGTCTTTGGCAGCGGCCGATCGTAATGCAAATAATCCGACCAGCACGGCTACACCACCTGAGTCGCCGGGCAGCGAACACAATCCATTAACTACGTCGCTCCACTCACATAAGAGTGCCCCTGGCACAATACCGAAGTCTTCGAAAGGTTCAGCTTCTCTAAACTCATCACAGACGCATATCAATCGCAATCTTTGCAATGCCTCGTATACACACACGAACGAGTTAGTCAACGACTCACATGCCCTGCGAGATGCCAACTATATGGAGTTGAGTTTTTATAATGGACGTTACACAGGCGCAGATTCCACGCAGTTTGCCGAACTCTTTTGTGATTTCCCCGCAAGTTATGGTTCTACGACCGTTATTACGAATTCGCAGTTTGCGAAGTGTGGACTACAACACTCGCCTCAACCACCACCACCATATCGTGAACCACCGCCACCTACACCACCACCGATTTCGCAAATGCCAACACGCGATTCGAGGTACCTTGCGATGCAAACCTCTACTGAGGGTAGTGCTTCCGTATCAGCGCCTGCCACACCATCACGCGGCAAGGTTGTGCTCAGCAAGAAGGAACGCAAAGAGTTGAGTAAGCTGAATGCACGTTTGGGTGTGTACGATGGCAGCGAAAATGCGGGTGGCAGCGCTAGTGCGACATCTAGTCCATATAAAGGACGCGTATCTGAGCTGAAAAACTGCTTGGCGCGTGGTCTCTTTGCCTCTCTTAGTCGTGGTTCCCAAAAGTCGCTTACAGCGAACAGTGCACCGCAAGAAGATGTGACTACATCCTCGATTGAGGTCTCACCACCGCCACCAGCACCACCAGATACGAGCCCACCGAATTCAAATGCGTCAAATAACAATGATGCTGATTACAGTGAAAAGCTGAAAAACTTGCCAGTGCGGCAGCGTAAAACCCATGTTTCGCATATGGATAACTATTGTCTCTTCGATCCTGTGGACTTTATCAATGAGAAGGCTATGCGTCAACGCGCACACGAGCAGTTAGGCAGAATGTTTGAGCCCGCAGCGACGCATGGTTTGCGTGATCCATTATTTAGCTCACGCCAAAATCTGAATTTTAGCGAAGAGGAGATAGTGCCCGAAGTTATTTACAATGAGGAGCTGCCCGGCGAGGAGGATTCAACACTCATGATTGAAGTGACGTATGGTGAGGCGTGTGGTGGTGCGGCGTCCAATGCGTCAAATTTCGATCATCACAACTATTTCGTTATTGATCCCGATGACTTTGAAGAGGAGCCCATCGGTGATATTGGCATACCGAACCCTTTCACAAACGAACAGCTCGTACACGCTAACCTCGAAGCACTGGCCGTTGAATGCGTCGCGAGAGTCGATGAGCCTATACTACATGAATCCGCTAGCTTAGAACAGTTACTCGAGGTTCTCGATGCAGCGCCGAGTATGTCGAATAGTCAGGAGTCAAAAGATACAAATACCACAACTTCGCGTACGACTACTACATCAACTGCGCTTGTAGAGTCTTCCACCTCTACCAACTCAACTAGTTCCTCCACATCAGCGACGTCCTCGCAAACAACATTGCAGCGCACAAAAAAACGTTTAACTTTCTTAAATCTCTCACCATTTCGTTCGCTCTCATCGAAAAACTCAACCGCAGCAGGTAACACGGGGGGTACAAACACAGAAAAACGCGGTAAGCGCCAAGCTCCCAACGAGAATAAAACTAATGATGCATCTACTGCAGATGGCGCTAGTGCAGTTGTGCTAAAAACTGAGCAACGTGCCATATCGGAGTTAGTTAGTTCGGAGCATATGCTACATTTACAAAATATGCTACTGGATGGCAAAGCAAATTTACGTGCGCGTACCGTACCAATCGAATCGAATTATGTACTATTCAACCCGGGTCCGGTACCGAGTCGCAATGTGCCGTATAAAATTCGTAAGCCGCGTCCCCTTTCTTCATGCAGCGATGCGGATAGTGGTTTTCTGAGTCCTTGTTCGCCGGATGAGCTGTCCTCTTCGAAGCTAGGCTCGGCGATCTTGGTGCTACAGCAGTGCGATAGCATACAGTGTCACATTGAGGTAAGTAAATTTTGAACAGAATTTATTATCCGATAAGCTAGGCGTATAATTATGTATAAAGACTAAAACTAAGATTTAAGACGTGTTCTAAACATGGCTGAATCGAAGCAGGGGCATTGTTCCAACAACCTACTGATGTCTGTTTCCCTATACTTCATGCATATATGAGTATGTCTAGTATTCCGCTCGAATGACTCCTTTCAAGACCGCGTGAGCACTTGGTGGAAATACCTCCCTTCGACCACATTTCATTTTCACGTCACAATAATTCGTCTTCTTGCTCTCTCGTACATTTCATTACAGACAGCTTTTAACGTCTTTAATATTCCATATATGAACTGGTTCGGTCGCATGGCATTTTTGGCACAATCATTCTTTCTTTTTGAGATTTTTGGCGTTGAATAGTTCACCAACTTTCCCTGCCTTTAAGATCTAGATTTAAAAATATTCCCATCATCCAAGAGCTGGAAGAGTTGCCTAAGATCTTGCTTAGTACAGCAGATTGCGACCCCAGCTCCATTAAACAATTTTGATCCTTCGAATAACTCGCGAGCATTTAGTCTTTCCTGTCCTGGTGCGGGCAATATTTATAGATTACAGAAATTTTATGTTTTCTAGTTGCGGTCACCCCTCGGCAGGGAAGGTCAAACCTTCGGAGTATATTTCGGATTTAAAATTCAAGATCCTCATAAAAATAGCTTAGTATAAACTGTAAGTTCACAAATTACACGAGAAGCTCGGCCAAAAATCGCTTTAGTGGCTACAAATAATAAAATAATGTAGTCTGTCGTGGCTGTTCTTCCCTTGCGTGGTCAGCTTTGTCCAAGAATTTACCTTAACCTGCTTATCTCCCAACGGATTGGAGAGAGGTTGAGTGATCCTTCAGATAAAGTCTGTAATTCAGAGTGCATCGAGCCAACTTATCTATTTCAGTGGGTTTTTATGAATGGCATATGGTTTTTTATATATGTGAGTCCAGCCCTGATGGTAATTGAAAAATATTAGCAGAAATCTTTAACACTCACATCAAATTTCCACCTCCATATGGCGTTAATTCGAATATCAATTTTTTTAGCTATTTATATATCTCTTCAGCTACGATTATTGCTACCTACCTTGATAATTTCATTACAATAGAGGGCCCTAAAGTTTTGAATCCCTTAAGTAGATGACGTGCATGTCGCTCAAGTACAGCTGAGAATATTGCTGCTGCAGCCCACAGTGTTGAAAAAACTCAGATTTCTTTAAGATGGGGCATTCCACAAACATTGTTACGCCGTATTTTGCATAAGGGCGCGATACTGGGGCTTTTAAAGTTCAATTAACTCAAGAGCTCAAGCCGTTCGACCGGCAACGTCGTGTCTTTGCTGGCCCCTTAAGTAGATCAAAATATTTCAGAATTTTATCTTGACTGTTTAGACCGATTTCCACATTGACAGCTACGTCAATTAACAAAACTCTAACACGTTTGAAGCTCGGAAAACCCAAAATTTATTGTTGAAAAGCCTCTCCATCCTCAACGTGTAACTCTTTGGTGCGAATTATGGTCTGGCGAGGTTAATGGAGCTTACTGTTTCGAAAATGGGGCTGGAGCAACGGTCGCGGTGAATGAATTGAGCTACAGAGATAGTATTATTGTTTTTTTTTGTTGCCTGATTTGGGTGGTATTGTTCTGAGCTATATTTACTTTCAACAAGACCGCAGTACGTGCCAGACAAGCAACGAAAGCATCGATTTTAAAAGTAAAACGTCTCCGGTCGTAATACCTCTCGAAAAGGCGGTCCCAATTGGCCACCACCACGTTTAGAAAAAAAACCTTTTTTTTACAATTTTTCATGTAAGTCAGACCATGATTTAAGCTCCCGATCTTCTGTTTATAATTTTCTACTCGGCTTCAGTAGCTACGGGCTCTATCAAGTGGCATTTACTTGCTTAAGAATATATGTATATCTTACTGACGCCTGTGAAGGCTTTCAGCTTCGCCAGTGTAACTGCATTTTCTTTCAGTGGTTAAGAAAAGTATGAAGCAGTAGTATTTGTTTTGCTTGCGGTTTTTCTCCCGCTAACATGTTTTATCCTTTCAAATCTGGCTAAAGAACCATTTAATCTTCGTTGGCTTTGCACTTCTTAAAAGATTAATATCCTGTACTCACAACTCTCATTGTCCTTTTTGAGAATAGTTAATTATCGCAGGCGAATGCGCATTCACTTTAATGGCTTTGCCAACTGGCACACTCCACTATTGTTGGCGACAAAGCCCAGCTCCCCTGACAATTCTAAATTCAAAAACTACAACAAAGATCATAATGTGAAATAATATTATTTTTTTCTTTACTCTTGCCCGATAAGCTGATGGTAAGTAACGACTTACCACATTTATTAATAGCAGCACGACACAACGCATTGCCACCGAACACTAAGCCGCTTAGCAAAAAATTATGATTAGATATGAGGCTAAAGCAGCCCTTTATTTATGTATTGCGTGTGTGTGTGTGTGTGTGTGTGTGTGTGTGCGCATGTGTGTGTGCGCGTCTTACAATCGGTATCATAACTTGTAATATTCTTAACACATTTAAATTCGTTTTCTTGTAAAAATTATTACACACTTACTTAGGGCAACTGCTGCTGGCTGTGCAGCTTCTTGGTACCTTGTTGCCTACTGTAATATTTTCTCGCTACTACTCCTGCTCTACCATATCCTCACTGCTTCTTGAGGGCTCATTTCCGCTATTTATCAGTAGCACCCATGGAAAATGCATTTTCCGTAATACCAACGCGCACCGAGTTGGAATAAGCAGCAGTTAAGGAAATTGTACATGTTGCCGGGCGGAAATCATTCGCTTATCTACATTCTCCCTCACTCCGGGTCTCCTCCTTTGAGTGGTGGTGGAAAATTGTTCGAATTACTTGCAAAATTGCAATAATTTCTTGTTTGGTTAACGAATCTGCTGGGCGCGTGGAGGGTATGTACGAGTATGCATTTGTAGCGGGTTAAATGTGTGCAATTACCAAGGGAACCTTAAAGCGCACAGACGTACGCACACACGCTGTCAGTTATAATAGATTTGTATTGGCGGTACATACAAAATAACTTTAACAAATGGCATTTGTGTAGTCCTGTGAAAATACTTCCTTCTTCGTCTGTTCCTTCTAGTTAATTTCGGCTATGCCGTGTTGTGTGAAGTACAACACTTGATTTCTTGCCATTTGCCACTTGCAGCACCGCTCGCACGAGAAAATAAGGTGGTGATGATTGCATCATTCAAATACTAGTGTTCCCTCTTCATAGTCTACTTCCCGAGCAATTATTCCCAGCAGACAAGTAAGGCAATAATACTGATAGGTACTTACAAATGATGGATCATGAGTCATGAGTCAAAAATTGTAAATCATAAGTCATGATTGAAAAATTATTAGCCAAAAGTTATTTAAAAAAAAAATATATCATTCGTAAAAATAATGAGTCTAACTTAAATAATAAGTCATGAAGTATAACAATAAGTTATAATACAATAGTTATTTTTTAAAAATAAGTAAATCAAAATTATGCGTCATAAGTAATTTTTTAAATAATAAGTCATAAGTCAAAATTATGATTCATACGATAAGTCAAGAGTGAAATTGTGAATCATAAATTAGTTTTGAAATAATAAGTCATGAGTCAAAACAATGTGTCCTAAAGTATCTCAAAATAATAAATCTAGAGTCGAAATTGTTCGTCATAAATTATTTTATAAATAATAAGTCATGAGTCAAAATTATGAGTCATAATTTAGTTTTTAAATAATAAGTCATCAGTCAAAATTATGATTCATAAAATACTTTTTAAATAAAAAAGTCAAAACTGTGAATCATAAATTAGTTTTGAAATAATAAGTCATGAGTCAAAACAATGTGTCCTAAAGTATCTCAAAATAATAAATCTAGAGTCGAAATTGTTCGTCATAAATTATTTTATAAATAATAAGTCATGAGTCAAAATTATGGGTCATAATTTAGGTTTTAAATAATATGTCATTAGACAAATTTATAAATCATAAGATACTTTTTAAATAATAAGTCAAGAGTCAAAATTGTGAGTCGTAAATTAGTTTTAAAGTAATAAGTCATGAGTCAAAATTATGATTCTCACTTATTGATTCACAAGTCTTATGTTTTAAGCCATGAGTTAGTTTTCGACCGATTGACATGAAATTTTGCCGGATTGGTTCTATGGTTTTTGAAAAGGTTTATGCGAAAACCCTTTTTCGGGAAGTGTACCTANTCAAAATAATAAATCTAGAGTCGAAATTGTTCGTCATAAATTATTTTATAAATAATAAGTCATGAGTCAAAATTATGAGTCATAATTTCGTTTTTAAATAATAAGTCATTAGTCAAATTTATAAATGATAAGATACTTTTTAAATAATAAGTCAAGAGTCAAAATTGTGAGTCATAAATTAGTTTTTAGTTATCATGACGAGTCATAATCATGAATCATAAGTTATTTTTAAATAATAAGTCAATAATCATAAATAATTTTTCAAATAATAAGTCATGAGTCAAAACTATGAGTCCTAAAGTATCTTAAAATAATACTTTTAGAGTCGAAAATGTTCGTCATAAATTAGTTTATAATTTATTAGTCATGAGTCAAAATTTTGAGTCATAATTTAGTTTTTAAATAATAAGTCATCAGTCAAAATTATGATTCATAAAATACTTTTTAAATAAAAAAGTCAAAACTGTGAGTCATAAATTAGTTTTTAATTAACAAGTCATGAATTATAATTATGAATTATAAATAATTTTTTAAATAATAAGTCAATAGTCATAAATTAGTTTAGTGATAAGTCGTGAATATAAACTGGAGGGCACAAACTAGTTTTTAATTAATACATCATGAGTCAAAATCCTAGATCATAAACTAGTTTTTAAAAAAATAAGTCATGAGTCATAAATTAGTTTATAAATAATAAGTCATGAGTCAAAACTATGAGTCATAATTTCGTTTTTGAATAATAAGTTATTAG